GCGCTTTGGCCAGGGCACCTTTGGAGCTCGCAACCGATTGTAACTTTAAATACGACCGTAGACAAAAAAATACCCGCTCAGCTGGTACCGAAGAAACTATAATACTAAAAGACCACATACAGCTGCAGAAACAGCTGATGGAATTTTCCGCGCTCGAAACTCGGATGCAAGCTTTTTGTTGTCTGTGTTAGAATCGAGTTAGTCGCGAGGCTTGTTATAGTATTTCCTCACTAACATCTCATAATCAAAAACTTGTGCATACATTTTCATTTGATGGATGGGCCCGGATTGTTCATAAAATGATTATATTTTTTGCACATATAATATATTTATAATGCAATTCCAAATTAGCCTGTTACTCCTGATCTGGAACTCACATGTAACATTATTGACTTTGCCGTACAAGTATTGAAAACCGTCCATATTATGATGTAGATATCAAGAAGATTCATCTGTGAACGAATACTACATGTGTAGCTGGCGGGTTAAGTAGTTTCCGACACTAATGGAGACATATCTCTTTTGCCTTGAATTTTTCGGGTGATTCCTTATTGCGTTGATAGATTTTTGGTAGATTAAACTGGAACCTTCTCCCAACAAAAATTAAACCGATGGAGGCTAAAACCTTAAATACTAAGCGAAAAACGAAATTGTAGGTTCTCATAAACAAAACACTGTATTTCCCGCCTTTGCAATTGTGATTGGAGGATCAACGTTAACATAGGTTAGAAAACATTATTTATTTGTGGTAAACTGTGGTGTGGCAAGCTGTGAAACAGACAGTTTCCTTTACCTTACGCCTAAAACTGATCCGGTGCTGGAGCTCACTTTATGCGACGGGAATTTATATGACGCGGGGCTTTCCTTTGATTTTTCATCTTGTTTTGGTTTTTTGCTGGATCGGTTACCACTAGTCGTAGCTAAGTTAGTGTCAAAACATGCCGTTTGCTCTGATAAACCCCAAATATGTTAATGTTAATTCATGGAATTGCAATCTAAGACGTTTTGGGTTTTTGGAACGCGAAAGTTTTAGCGGGGAATTTGATTTATAGTTGCAAAAGATTTCGGTTTGGGCGAAGTGTTCATTGTAGCAAGAGCGTGCATTGAAATAGTAGTGAAGCTTGCTGCAAAGTATTTGTAAAGCAGAAACGATCATCATGTTAAAGGAGTCGAAATGAACCATAAACTTCATTTTATTTCAAAATAAGCATCTGCAGCTTCGTTCATGTCATGGCGATATGCGAATAATTTTAGGGCAGGTAGCTTCAACCTAAAAAAAACTGCTCGCCAGTGGTATGGCGTTGCACGGGCATCCTGTGCTTGCTTCACAGTAAAATGCTCCTGGTTAAGCTTCAACGCGTTGATTTGTCATAGTTGTAGAAGTATTCATGCAATTTTCATTCTTTTGTCTCTCGTTTTTTTAACAACTAAAGACATTTAGCTGTCTAGGCCAAAAAATGTCAACGGACGCCCAGAAGCCCGCTATCATGAAGCTAGTAACAAATGATGGGGAAAATTTCGATGTGCCTTTGGATGTGATACGGCTCTCCACTACTATCAATACTATGCTCCAGGATCTCGGCTTGGATAATGAAACAAACGATCCTATCCCCGTATGCAACGTGTCCGGTCCAATCATGAAGAAGGTTTTGCAGTGGTGCACATTTCACAAAGACGATCCACCCAGTACTGATGATTCTGATAATAGGGAAAAGCGCACAGACGACATCCCAAGCTGGGATGTGGAATTTCTGAAAGTAGATCAGGGCACATTATTTGAGCTTATTCTTGCTGCGAATTACCTTGATATCAAAGGATTACTTGATGTCACTTGCAAAACGGTGGCAAACATGATCAAAGGCAAAACTCCGGAAGAAATTCGACGTACTTTCAACATTAAGAACGACTTCACCCCTGAGGAGGAAGAACAGATCCGCAAAGAAAACGCATGGTGCGAGGATTGAACGCAACTGCTCTTCAATTGCATAGCTTTGCTGTTATCCGAATAGAAGTACCTATAACAACCATCAAATATTTTAATCCTCATCTTGTATAAATAGATTGTTCTGGCACCGTTTGTTCGCATTACATATTGCCTAAACATTGTTGACACATTTTGTACATAAGGCTCAATAAAATTTTAGATTGGTGGTTGTGCAAGTGACAGTATACTGTTGCATAACGAGGGACTTATCAATAGGTAGATAATTTTATAGAGAATGAACTTGTATTATAATACTTTTTTTAGATGTCCGATTCTTCAAGCTCAGAGAGTGATTGTCTTTCTCGGAAATCAACTATAAATGCGAATGTAGTAACAAACAAAAGTCAGTCATTCGCTTGTGTAAAAATCAGCGATCATATTATAATATCAGGTACGCATTCAACGGCAGAGTTAGAAGAGGATGAAAGGAAAATCGAACCTCCACCGTCATTCGAAAAATTGGTTCGTGTTTCGCTTTGTAAATATTTTCGCGTTTTCTGTTTTCTCTTTTTTTTTAAATGTATTGCTACACTCTTTTAAGTATGATGGCTAGCTGAAAAATTTCTTAAAAGGGTGTTTGTGAGCCACTGTGCCAAGCTTGCGAACGACTGGATTGGAAGATACCTACGAAGATTCAAGTTGCTGCTCTCGCTCATGCCTTAAGGGGACGAGACGTCATTGGTTTGGCGGAAACTGGGTAATTGTTTATTTATTCTGATATGGTATGCACGTTAGCTAATTTGAAAAACAATTTCTTTTTTAACTTTTAACGTAAAGTAAGAACGAATACAATGAGTTTTTAAAGCTCTTTTACCGTTTCCGCAGTTAGTGGGAATTTTTCTTTCATAGCTTCTATAATTTCTTTTGCGTGATTTTAAACGCAAGCTAGTGCAGACCAAATCTGTTTTAACACTAAAGCAAGCAAATCCGCATTGATCATAGCTATTTAAACTCCTTTCTGCGATGAAGCGTATTGTCTGCAATTTCGAGGCGGATAGTTTATATAGCTTTCGAATATTCCTTTTCTACACAGAATGTATTCGAAACTTCGCCGCACTAATGGTTACTATTCTTAAGAAAATAGTGAGGAATAAGTATTGTTTGAGGTCGCGTCTATAAGTTCCTTATCAGGCAACTTCGAGGCATTGTGTACCCTTCCACTAATTTCGCCAAAACTTTGAGCAGTTTTTTGAAACCAAAATACTATGGACTCAACAATGAAGTGGGTTCAATTGATGTGAATAATAAAACTAAGCAGGTTGTTTTAGATCTGGCAAAACTGCCGCTTTTGCCATTCCAATTCTACAATCTTTGTTAGAAACTCCGCAAAAACTCTTTGCTCTTGTGCTTACGCCGACCAGGGAATTGGCATTTCAAATTGCTCAACAGTTTGAAGCACTAGGCGCTGGTATAGGCCTTCTGGTTGGTGGGTGAAATGCTGTTTTACTCTCCACTGCGTTTCCGCATGCATAGTTTTTGTTTCAAAAAAGGTGTGAGCAGGGATTGTTTTGACTATCTTTGTTCTAGCCGTGATTGTCGGCGGTGTCGACATGACAACTCAAGCATTTGCGTTGGCGAAGCGTCCACATGTGATTGTAGGTAAGTGCGCGAGTATCATACTTGCTAAAAGCTTTTTTTTTATATTTACCATCATTTTGTTCAGCAACACCTGGTCGATTGGTTGACCATTTGGAGAATACTAAAGGTTTTAACCTTCGTGCACTGAAATATCTTGTTATGGATGAAGCTGACAGAATTCTTAATATGGATTTTGAGGTGGTTGAAAAGAAAGCTCTTAGAGTTCATTCGTAGAATCTGTTAGTGTCATCTTACCTGAAATTCTCAATCAAATGTGGCGCACAGTATCCACGTGCCAACTTCTTAATCAGTGTTGACGTCTCTGGTAAATACGTTCAGCGGTGCCCAGAAACAATTCCAGTTAATCTTTACATATCAAGCACAATGAAATGTCGAAATAAGATAGCGACCTATGCCGGTTATTCAATATAGGACATTCCTGGAAATAGATGTAGTGCCGAGAATTCATAAACCTATCATGTAGTCGTCAAAGAAAATTTGCAATTTGTATTTTATGCACTGTTTCCAACATGTTGACTCTTTGCACTTGTTGATTTTTCTCTCCATTTCATGTTACAGGTCGAGCTTGATAAAATTTTGCGAGTTATTCCAAAGGAACGACATACATATCTCTTTTCTGCCACCATGACAAAAAAGGTATTTATATTTACGTTTAAAAATATAATTGTGGCTATCCTATCTACGTGCAGAGAAATGAAGTTTGCTCTATCGTGTATTTAGTAACATTTACTTCAAGGTTGCCAAGCTTGAGAGGGCGTCGCTGAAAGATCCCGCACGTGTTGAAGTGTCGACGAAGTATAAGACTGTTGATAAGCTTAAACAGAATTACCTCTTCATCCCATTTAAATACAAGGTAGAAACGCCTCTAGGCTTATTGTACTCTCAACTTTTTCTTGATTCGTTTATATAGGAGGCGTACTTGGTATATCTTCTCAATGAACTCGCTGGGAACACTGCTATTGTATTTTGTGCTACTTGCAATACTGCAATGCACGTGGGTCTATTGCTTTTCTTTTCTTCAGCTCTTTTATGACATCACTTTTTAACTGCTCACCATAGCTCAGCCTAATAAGTATAGAGAATTACTGACAAGGGAATGCTTTCTACTCGGAGTACCATTCAAAACAAGATATATATATATATATATAT